ATTTCTTAAAAATGTGTAATGAATATTATTTGTTAGGAAAAGTGGCTTCAATACAAAAAAAAAAAAGATAAAAAATTAAAACCTGTTAGTTGTTGTGTTCTCCGTCTGTTCCTGTTACTTTTTTTCAGTAACTTTTGTTTCTTATTTTGTTCTTATGTCTCTTCCTTCATTCTCTTTCCTAAATGCTGTTGCTATCTGCCTTTTCACTCTTCATCCCCTTGAATCTGCTTGAAACTTGGTCAGGGTTTCAGCACTGAAGTTGGCACTGGACTTATTGCAAACAATAACACTGGCCTGTTGCTCTCTACTCATCTGCAGAGACAGATTGTTTAAAATTAAGATCCTGTTCCCACTCAACTTCTCCATTTGGGGTTTTCCCCAAAGCTTCCCAGAAGCAGATGGTGCTTCCTGGAGCTGTGCTTACAGAGCATTACACTTTATGCAGCACTGTCTTCTCCTGACAAACCCAGCCAGATGTGTCCTTCCCTCAGAGCTGCCAGGTTCAAGGAAAGTCCATGTACCATCTCTTGTGCTGTTCTGATGTCAGCCTGGTCTAAGTTGGTGTACAATCTACAGCTTGACCAGGAAGCACTTTGAGGACAGGTTCATACAAGGATGAAAGGATACCTTCTGGTATAAAAAGCTTGACTGTAGAAGTGAGCTTAGGCTGCTCTTAGAAATGCATCTTGGATCAATTTAATTGATCCCACAATGAAGCAGCATGGCTGAAACTTCATGCCTTTCCTTTTCCCACTAGTCATGATGCAATGACTAGTGTGTTCCAGAGCTTTAGGGAAGGTTCACGAAAACATGCCATAGGTTGAGATACCTCCTGGGAGGGCAGATGGAAATTGAAATAGGTTAGAAATGCTCTGGGAGCAAGCTTAGTTAAAGGGAAAAGGCTAAAGAGGGTATATGTTGCATTTACTACAAGATAGAAGCTTTCTTTGGAAAATTAGTATTTTAAATAAGATACTTAAAAATTATTGCTTTTATAGAAAATAAGATACTTTATTTTAGGGGATGAAGAAAAAAAAGCCAAGAGACAGAAAGCAAGGGGAGGGGGCAGAGAAGGATAAAGAAAGAGTGGGGGAAGAGATGGAATCACTGGCACTGCTGCAAGGGCAGCATGTTTCGGGCTGACAAGGGAAGCTGATGCAGAGTCAGTGGAGATGAAGGCTGGCAAGAATCCTGTGTGCATGATTAAGTTCTGCCTACAAAATCATTAGGATTTATGGTCACTTAAATGATTGCAACCCCAAATATAAATGTTTATTTGCTTAAAATGGATTTTATTTCAGTTTGAGGGTTCTGTTTAAATGTGAAATGCCTGTGCAGCCTGTAGCATGAGCTGATATGACTGAGCCAGTGCCGTTTCCTCCTGCAAACGCTTCACTTCCTGAAGCAAGTGGGTTCACTTGGGCTTGCCAGGGCTGCCGTGGAGGGAATCACAGGGTTGGACCCACATTTTCCATATGTCCTTATGTGTTTCCTGCTGGCCATATACTTTTTCTTTGATCATATCAATAACCGCTTTTGTGAACGGTGAAAAATATTCTGTATCATGGATAAAAACCGTGAGAAACATCCTTGGTACCCTTGTGTTGCTCCAGATGGTAAAATCTGCAGACCTCTCATCATTTCAGTAAGGCAAAATACTTTTCAATGGCTTGCCTTTTATCCTAACACTTCTAAAACATTTTTATACATGATCTTTTTCAAAGGTACTCTGGGGGATTTCCACTCCCTTGCTGTTTTAAAATGCTCACACTGTTGTGTTAACCACAAAGCTTACGCTGGTGCACTCTCTCTCTCTCTCTCTCTCTTTCGTTTTCTCCCCATTGAGGACCAGCTACCATTTCCAGGTACAGCTTTACCAAAATGTGTCTTGTTAATGCTGACAGGAGCTTAACATTGCTAGAATTATTTCTCATTTCTGAAGGGCTCTTCAGGGGTACCCTGTGGCACACAGGAGTGTGAGTGGCACAGGGCTGCATTGGGGGAGGGCTGCAGACCCCAAAACATCTCAGGAACTGAGTTCACCCCTGAACCGGCAAAGAGGTGCCAGTGTCGTAGGGGTGAGTGGCAGAGCCTTCTTACTGAAATTTCTGTTGGTGCTTGGGAAGGTACAAGCCAGGGATTGCTACAGAAGGGATGGGAACAAAATTATTTTCCAGCTCTATGATTGTTTTAAAGCAAAAGTTCTCTGTATTACTGTAACAATATAATGTTGATTAGACTTAGATTTCTTGATAATGCAAAATTAATTCATTATTTTTAGAACATCCAGGGAAAACAGTAGATGTAGCAAATAAATAAACTGGTTTTAAAATCACAGCTGCTTCAGCACCAGACAGACTTCATTGGTTGTAAGACTGTATTTTTAATTTTTTTTTTTAATGCTATCTGTGTTGTAATCTATGTCTTAAAAACCTCTTGAAGTTTAGTTTTATGGGAATTCATTGTAATGCTTGACTGTACCTCTATGCAAAAGAAACCCTACTGTCGTACTCCTCTTAGTGAAAATTTGCCTATAGAGATAAGCAAACTGATGCTTGCTTAGTAAGATTTTGCTGTGCCTTGGCAATAAGATAATAACTTGAATTTGAATAGGATGGTGTTGTCTATATCCAAAAGAAAACGTTTGTTCTGCTGTCCTCTGCAGCAACATCCCCTGTAGGTGCTCAGGCACATATCCAATAGGAAATTGTTGCTGTTAGAAATATTCTCTCCTGGGTAACAGCTGGTCACTGCACTGCAGTTTTGAAGTGATTAGGACAACAGGAGAGCACTCCTGAGACTGACTTGGTGCCAGGTGAAGTGAGAGTGATCCCTGAGTATCAGCAGTGGGTCTGTGTTGGTGCCGTAGGGGATCCTTTCCCTCCGCAGTCTCTGTGCTGGGGTGACACACATGATGCAATTGGGGTTCTTCTCCCCCACAGGGACTCTGCAAGTGTGTTTTGTTGTCAGCAGTCAAAATGTTGTAACTCTTCTCGTGTTGGAAGCGACAAGGATGATCCCTCAGTAATGTCAGAGGTCATAATCTGCTGTTTTCATGACGTCATATAATTTGCTATATCTCAAATACGTATCTCAAATTGTATAGATATTTTTAGTCATTCTTTAGCAGACTCTGTTACCTCTTCCACTCTGTATGTTGAGTTGAGGCATATATTTCTTCTCCCCAAAATACAGTGTTTTTGAGGAAGACATTGTAGTAAATAGTAAATCATATAACTTCATTATTTTAATTAAAAAAATACTGGAGGCAGCTAATCTACCTAGTTTATAAGGCAGCTTGGAAAGGGTCATTTTAATGCAAGGTATGTTCCCCTCCATCATGTTTCTGCCTGTCACCTCCCAATGAAGTGACTTGATCTTAGACCTCTAAATTTGGCAAACTTCTCCCACTGTGACTAAGACAGGCTTCCAGTTCTGATGTACCATAAAAGGTAGATAATTTGAGAGAGAGGGACGGGTCATCTTCTAAGACTTGTCCCTACCAGGTGCCTTAGGGCAAAGCAATAGAGCTGAAGTAGAGCTATAGGAAGATAGGTGTATAACTTTGTTTTCTATTCCCTGTTGTATTTCATGGAAGTATGGTGAGGAAGTAATTACAGTGTTTTTTATTGAGCACTACTCCAATCCTGGAGGGTAGCTGAGCATTGCCTTCCCCTCATGCAGTGAAAGTGGCAGAAGCCATGCTCTCAGCCCCCATTTGCTGGGCAGCAGGACAAAGGATCCTCTCTTCTTGTCCATGCATGGTGACCAGATCTCTGATAGCAACACAGATGTTTGCCCTTCTCAGTCTAAAAGACATGGTTGGCACCCAGTGTCTGTGCCTCAGGTCTGCTGTCCTGGAAGTTTTGGTGCTGTAGCCTGCTGCAGTGGTGCAGTCATAGCTCTTATGTGCTGACCTTTCAGGAGGGACTGGCTTCATGTGAGAGGAAGCAGGAGAAAAATATTCTCTTTAAAAAGAGCACCCACATTATAGGGAATGTTTTATCTGTGTGCAGAAACTATGTTTTTCTGGCTAAAAGAAGTTAATCTGTTCACAGTAGTTCAATGTGACATTGGGTTTGCATATGGCCTTTGTCCATTCTGACTCCTGGTGCCATAAATAGGCAGCAGCACTGCTGGAGGGGAGCTGTTTGAACATGGCTTTAGAATGTTAATGCCATTTTATATCCTAGTAAGTCATGCCCATACTGATTTTTCTCCTTATTATTATGTTCTACTCATGTCTTGCTCAGTTTCTAAATAGTTAGAAATACTATAATAATAATGGCCAGTCTTTGCAAGCGAAGATCCGGGGAAGGTCTTTACACCTTCCAACCTGCGCATTGGATTTTTTAGGTGAGACACAGTGTGCGCGGAACTGAGCCCACCCTTTAATCCTAAGGTTCATCTGCCGGGGCCAAGCGAGCTTGGACGGTGGCAGCGAGGTCCTTAGGACGTAGGTGGGTTGCCTTTTTAAGGGCTAACGAGCCCCACCTGCCAGGGAGTGGCCCTGACCGGGAATCGAACCTGGGTCTCAGCGGTGATAGCGCCACGCCCTTAAATGGAAAATGTTTGGGCTCAATTTGGTGTGGTGGTAGTTAAGATAGGATAGCCCACATTTAATAAAGTTTATTTTTGTTATGAAAATTCTCCCCCTTGGATTATTTCCAGTGAAGTTAAAGCATCTGTGTATAAAGAGTTGTTCTAGAACCATTTTGCTTGTGCAGCTATTGGTGCAGGCAGGGCTGGGATGCTGAAGTGGTAGGAAGGTGCAGCTGGGAGCTCTTTGTACTGTGCTGCCATTGAGCTCCCACTCACTGGTAGCTGTTAATAGGACTTGGGCTTAGCTTCTAGTGAGTCATACTACTTTTTTTTTATATGTGGCCAGAATTAATTCTATTTATTTTAGTATATGGAAATCCAGTTTTTTTAATGTGTTGATTTTCATTCTCCGTAGACGGGGGGCGGGGGGGGGAGAGGGGGGCATGTGTGCTGTTGCAGTGGAGGTGCAGTGAAAATCCCTTTACTGCATGCACTGTGTGCCTGCCACAAGAGCATCATTACGCAGCATAAACCCACCTCTCTCTGCTATTTTAAAACAGCATTACAGTTCACACGTGTGCTGAAAAATCTGAGAGTACACAAAGACAGGACACCTTCCCTTGCTGTTAGCTGTGAGCAGGCAGAAGTGAAAGCGTCCCCCATCTCCTACCTACGCTGGCCAGGCATTAGCGTAAGCAGGAAATTGATTCAGATAACCCTGGTGTGCTCTCACTGTCACCAAGAAGCACTTTTTCCCCTGATGGTTTCCCTTTGGTTTCAGTTCAGAGAGCCCAGGTGCTGGAAGCTGGCAATGGAAGAAGAGCTTCTGCGACCCGCCTGAGTCACTGGTGAGCACTGGGATGGGAATTACTTGCTGCCTGTGGTGGTTTGGATCACATCCCACCGAGTGCTGGCTGGCACTAGGTCTGGCACAGGGCTGCTGTTTCTCAGTTCCTCTCCACAACTGATTCACATGGGCACCTCTCCAGCTTGGGCAAAGCGTTGCCATCCACAGGCCCTCTCCTGGGGCAGCCCATTTCCTCCAGCAAAACAGCTGCAAACCCTGCAGCAAACCTTCTGCAAGGCTGTCAGCAGTGGCAAACATCCCTGATCTTCTGGGCACCCAGATGTTTCTGTTCTGCCCTCTGAGCAGGCTGGCTCACCTTTCACATCAAATGCTCTTTCCTGTGCCCTGAAGTGCCCTTAGCTGTGCAGTGCAGTGCAGTCCTGAGTGAGGCTGAGGTGGAGGAGGTTCTTTCATGGAGAGTCTCCATTTTCTGGGTTGGGTGCATTATGGAGGTGTTTAAGGAGATAAAGGCTCTCATTTCAACAGGAGAATTGGAAGGCGTTGTACCACAGCAGAGTGTTCCTTGCAGAAAGAGATGGGAATGATTTTGGTTGATTTAATGAGCAGTGAGAGCTCTGAAGGAGTTTCTGGATGGGATTTTGGGCTGGTGACTATATTTCTTCTTAATGTGTCCCATAACTTTTTTGCCTAAAACATCTGTTCACTGCAGCTGGAAGAAATTCTGGAGTTAAGGAAGACTCTTAACAGCAAAATGGATAAAACACTGATTTTTTTTTTTTTTTATGTTTTTAGACTGTGTGGCATTAGCTTGCTAAACCATGCCATTGGATGATACAAGTAACAGAGTGTAATAGGACTCAGGAAAAGTGGATGCCACGTAAATGGGAGAGAGCACTAATAAGAAAAAAGAAGGAAACTTGTTTCCTTCACCTACCGACAACAGAATGAATTCTTAGGCAATTCATCCTGTAGATAATCTGTGCTGTGGAAACTGATGGTGACAGCTCTCCATCTGCCTCCAAAGCAGCAGGAATGCTCTGCTGCTGGCATCTGCTACCGAGGCAACCCAAGCATGAGGATGGTAATCCCTCAGGCTGCATTTTGGCATCTCTGGTTGACGTGAGGAAAATAGAATTGGTCCTCATTAAATGTCAGGGAACTGGGAACCCCATTTTCAGAGAAGAAAAGGTCAACTGTTTAAAAATGAAAGGAGCAAATGGACAACCATCTCTGGTTGGAGGAGGCTGTTCATGTGGAACGACCAAACAGGGTAATTTGCAAATTCCAGTTGGAATAATAAGTCTTTTTGCCTGAAATATGATTAGAGTTCATATTTCTGAGGGCTGTCAATGCTAGGTGATCAGTTATGCTGGAGTATGTCAGACATTTAGCCTGGTGGATAACAGGGAGTCTCTCACAAGCTGCAAAGGGAAATACTGTGTACAACCATGAACAAGGGTGCTGAGTTACAGGAGCACTCAGATGTTTGCTGTGGAATACATTTTAATTGGTTAAGTGCTTTGGCTTGTTTTTCAATCAGGTACTCTACCTGTCCACAGGATTTCCTTGCCCAGTGTGGGTTGTTAGAATAGAAAGGAAAATGGATGTTGCTTTCTGAAGCCTGAAGTGGTCTGTGGCAGTGTCAAGCTGTGCATAGCGCAGCACTAGTCACTGCTTCCATGGGCCAGGAGCACACTGCAGCAGGGAGGCAGGGCAGTGTATCTGTACTTGCTATGCTGTTTCATGCCAGCCAAAAGGTTGGTGGTGCGTTGGCACTGCTTCCCTCCAAAAGCAGCAGATACCCTCAGCGACCTTACAGGAGCTGAGTGAGAGCTCTCAGAGAGCTGCTGATGCCACTAAGAGTGACTTGAATGTCTGACAAGGTGGGTGGTACACACAGAGGAGAGATAGCACTGCTATAAAATTGAGCACTTCTCCCGTGAAGCCATCTGAGAGCTGTGTTGTGCTTTTGTACACACCCTGTAAGGAAAACGTCTTTTGAGTGCAAAGCTACAAGAAATGCAAACCAGAGTGGCTCTAGGTCTTGAACTACTTGCCAAAAATTACTTGAGATTAATGGACTGCTGACAAATCTCAAGGTTTGTGTCTTAAGGCTGGAAAAAACTGTTGACAGTTTTTCCTACTGGAAAATTAACATTGCATTCCTGTGCCACGTATGAACTTTGTTAGGTTGAAAGAAAAACTTACGTCACACTTCTGATTGCAATCTTGCTTTTCATTCTTTTTTTTCCACCACTTCTTTCAGACAGGATTAATATAGCCAAGGACTTGTATATAATCTAATAAAACTTTGGAAAAGTAGGAGTTTACTGCTATAAATGAGGGATCAGCAGGAAAAAGATGTCAAGTTAAGAGGCTTCAACTCCTGTAACACCTAAACTGAAGGTAAAATCCCCTTGCTGCCTTTTTTTTGTATGCTGCTTGCTGTGAACCACAAAGCCACCTCCTGCTTGAACCAGTGCAATGAACTTGTGAAGTCATGTGGGTGGGATCTTCCTTAAGTGTAGACTTTCCAGGTGAACATTAGGGTGAAGACTTGGCCTCTGCTTTCTCCAACCGTGTCTGACTATTGACTCTTGTAGTTTTTTTGAGACTAAGAACTGCTGCAAAAAAATAATTAAAAAAACCCCAAACATGAAGATCTTTGTTTACAGATTGTGATACTCTTTTCCAGAGGAGTGCACTTTGGTGCTTGTCACATAATCATTGTTTTGCAGTTCTCTGAGCGTTTTGGTTTTCTTCCATAGCCTGGTGCCGTGTTTCCCTCTGGAATCTGTCTCACCCCTCTGCAGATGCCAGCCCTCCCACGAGCAGCACCCTGCTGCAAGCAATAGCTGAGGCAGCGTGGCTGCCAGTGAGTATTTGAAGAGATTCCCCCTGTGTCTGGTTCCCAGTGCAGCTCCCATGGCCTGTGACGAACCCGCTGCTCTCTCAGGCATCTTCACACGCCAGAACTCTGCCAGCACCATCTCTCTGGACTTTGAGCCTGATGCCGACTACAAGTTTGTTGAAACCTTAGAGGACCGGTACAAATGCGCCTACTGCCACCTTGTCCTTCACAACCCCCACCAGACGGGATGTGGGCATCGATTTTGCCAGCAGTGCATTCTTTCTTTGAGGTGAGTGCAAACTCCTCCTGTGTTCACAAACTCCCCATATTCCCTTTCCTTAAAAAAAAAATTCAACATCTATGAAACAGCAGTGAGTACCATAATAATATTACTGATCCAGTAAGACGCTGAAGGAGTCAATGAAAAGACTAATGAACTCAATGACTGCATGCTCAGTGTTTTAAAGGTGTACTTAAAGACCACATACCCAGTGCTGATGAACCACAGGGAAGTCAACATTAAGGAATTGTTGGTGTAAACTGGAGTGCTACTGTGTGAGATGCTGTTTCAGTCTGTCTGTCTGGCACTGTGCTCTGCAGAGAATTTGGTTGCGTTAATGTGTCACAGTATTGGCACTGGTGGTTAGATTAGGCTGTGTTCACTTTCTTCTGTAAAATTTCTTTCATTTTAGTGGACTTATAAAATTGTTGTTAGTATTACCTGATACTGCAGTCAGATCGCAAGGCTGCTGGCATCTGCTTGGGGATCATCTGCTATAAATGACTTTACCCCACAGACCTTATGCACTGTTACCCCACAAACATTATGCACTGTTTGCTGTTCCTGAGGGCAAGATTTCTCCCAGCCAGGCTTCAGAGGAGCCTGTTTATGTGGATGGATGTTGCTAATTACCTTCTGTGAATTTTAGATACTTCATATTTGCTGCTTTCGCTCTGGGTTGCATCCCTTTTGTACTGCCTCAATAAGTGCTTTCCTGCCCCTTATTACAGGATTTCTTGAAGCCTTCTAAGACAGCAGCCATTAGATCTTTCACTGGTGTAGCAAGGAGGGCACTGCTTCTGCCAGGCAAAGGCTGGGTTTAATACACTATGGGATTTTTTGAGATACAACATTTGAGAGCAGCAGATGGCCAGAGAGTGACAAAGTCCTCTTAATTTAAAACCATCTTATTCTTTTTACCATTTAACACTCATAGGACAAATTCTCTTTTCTCTTACACATTCACATTCAGATTAATGCCCTCTTAGAACTCTGTGCAGAATTTGGCTGTGTAGTTGCCAGATTAAAGTGGTTTTGAAGCACTTTTTTGTTTTTGTGGTATCTGGTATCATATGCCTTATGTCAGAGTCAGATTATAGCAAAGACCAATTTCATAAAATAAATCAAATTTTCTGTGAGTTAATATGACTCTTCTTATGCTCTAGAGAGTTAAATGCAGTACCCACCTGTCCTGTCGACAAAGAAACAATAAAAATGCATGAGGTAAGTGGTTATAGCTTTACTTCAGCAGGCAACATCTGCATGGAAAAGGCAAAAGTGCTGGGAACAAGGTACTCTTAGTCCTCAGGGCAGAGCAGTTTTTTGTCTCTGAAATGATGCTGAGGGAAATAATGTACTCAGTGATGCTCTCCCAGAAAGGAAGTATGGCTGTATACATAAAGAATTATTTCATACCTCATGTTCTGAAGTTATTTCATTTTAGTCTTCTCTATTTTCAGTAAAGTGTCAAAGAGTTTCACAAAGTGCTAAATCTTTCCTAATCATCAGATGTTTTTCTTTTTACTGGAGAGTTTATTGACTTACTTTTTTAATGCCCCATCTTGCTGGGTTATCTTGTCTATTTAGTTGTCTTTGTTTTCACTTGGCTATAATTTGCTCCTTAACTATCTCCATTAGATCTCACTAACTCTGCAGACCTAATTAACTTTTGGGTGACTTTTAGAAGAAAAGATAAATTCATCCTTTTTATTTTACAAGCTACTGTTGGTTTTGATTGTTTTGTTTGGGTTTTGTTTGTTTTCTTTTCTGGTTGGAGGGTGTTCTGTTTGGTTGTTTTTTGGTTTGGTTTGGAGTTTTTTTTGTAATGGATTACTTTATCCTTATGTATATGCGAAGGTTGAAAAGTATACTATATACTTGGTCATATCAGAATGCATTTTCTAGTGAAATCAAATGTCTCCTTCCTCTCTGTCATACTCCTGAAAGGAAGCTGTAATCAGACTGTCCACATGATTTTTGTTTTTCCTTTGCCGTCTTCTACTTTGTACAAATTTTGATGACAACAGTGCAACATTTATAGTGCTCCTTACAGGAAGGTCTCTAAATAAGACTGAAAGTTTGCTCCGAGGGCTTAATTTGCTTCTGCTCACACAACTGAGAACAGTAGAAAGGATGTTTCAGCATCATCTCCATCCCAAAGGCACGCTGCACTGCTTGAACATCATGGAGTGTGCACAGAGCTGGATGGCTTTGGGGCCTGTTAGGTCCAGCTGCTTTCTTCTAGGTACAGGCAGGCTTTGACAGTGGTTGTAAAGCTCCTGTGCTACTAGTCCTGCTGGCTGTGGGATGGATCAGCATCTGTGAAATAAATATATGGTGGGAAAGCCCTGTGCTTATTAGAAATTAATCCATGATTTTCTTTATATTTGTAATATACATTTTCAACATGACTTATCAAGAGCCATACTCACAATTATGGAGTCTACACTTGCATGCTTAGGAGATCTGTAGTGTTGTTTTGCTCTTTTGTATTATTTATGACATTCTATGTGACTGCATACAAAGGCTGGTTTGCTTCCTTTACAGGTATTCAAAGACAACTGCTGTAAAAGAGAAGTTCTCAATTTGCATGTGTTCTGCAAGAACTCTCCTGACTGCAATTCAAAAATAATTCTGGGACGATATCAGGTTAGTTTGCTTGATCAGATTTTGAAGCCTTTGATTTTCATGACAATTCTATGTTTTATGATCAGCTAAACTCCAGTCATTGTCTTCAGAGTTATTGTAGCAATTTGGTTTAAGTACAAAGATTATGACTTAGCTATACACCATAAGTAACAAATATTATGGCTGTTACCTTGTTCAGCTTTGACTTTGGTTGTGTTTTTTTTTAATAAGAACCATTTGCTTTATGTAGTTTTAGTATATCCCATGTCTGTACATATTCTGTATGCTTAGGCACCATGTGATGGTTGAATCAAGGAAATTTGCCAAGTCATTCTGGCCATTTGGGCCTTTTTTTTGTGTATCAATTGAATGAAAAGTGTAAGTCATAGAAAGGACTCTGCCAACTGTTTCTGTGGGTCTGCTGGGTAACTGGAGATGCCATGAAATACTTTGGGGTTTAATTTGCTGTTGTGTGATGCAGGAGCATCTTCAGCAGTGTTCGTTTGAAAGCGTGCAATGCACTAATGATGGATGTTGTGATCAAATTCTTCGGAAAGACTTGAAAGAGCACTTGAGCCAGCACTGTAAATTTCGAGAAGAAATGTGTCAGTACTGTAATACGTATGTGGTGTTCATTAACATAAAGGTAAGATTATGAAGCATTCCCTGGGAATCCCTAGTACGTGTTTCCTCTTGATGTTACTGAGTGAAAAGTTTCCAGCATTGCAGTGGTACTTAACAACTGCTGAAACAAAATTTGGTTGGGTAGCTGAAGAAGAAAGTATAATAAATATACTTTAAATAATACCAATTATTGATGCTCTCTTATGAACAACAAGGCAATATGTGGCTTGCACATGTATGTTTGGGATTACTTTTGCATAACTTCCTCTGCATGTATTACTTTACAAAAAATGCAAACCATTACCTTGTTCTGTTTCTTCTTCCCCAGAATCATGAAACAGATGACTGTCCTAATTATCCTGTGCCTTGTCTCCAAAATTGTTCACAAATAATTCTGAAAAAAGAGGTACTATTATTTTTTCATATACTGCGATTCAGCAGATCACACGCATTTATGAAAACTGAAAGCTGCATTGCAGACCACGTTGGCACATGACAATAAAATTTCATTGCTCTTAATATTTTCTTTGTTTGATTCTGAAAGGGATATATCTCCCATCTTTTAAGTGTGTTATTTCATCACTGTAAGCCATTGGTGTTTTGTAGTGTGGAAAAATACCTATCTTGCTTATTGACTCTGAACTCTCATTTTCCTGTTTAAGTGGTTTGCAGTTGTCATGACAGTGGCCTTTATTCACCCCTGATGCAGGCTTTCAGATTTTATAAGTGCATCAAATTACTTAATGTTTCTTTCATCCCAAACTTCTTTGTTAATACATGCAGATTGAAAATCACCAGGCTGTGTGCCCTGAGGCAGAAGTGGACTGCCCATATAAGCAGTATGGATGTCTTGCAAAGGTACTGTTTTACAGATCCTTGTCTGTACTGGGACTGGACTTTGTCTCCCAAGCCAGTCAGAGTCATTAATCAAAATAATCATTTTATGTCCTTTCACAGTCATTTCTAGCATTGGCTAAGATGCTGTGCTAGAGAATCAGGACTGCCATTCCCTCACTTGCAAAGCACAGAGGAGACATTCAAAATGTCTTCATCAATAAATTTTTTACTAACAGCTTCAAAAATCGGCTTATTATTTGATTCTTTCACTTCCTCCTCTACCTCACTAAGGTTAAAAGAGGGAAACTTGCTGAACATGAAAACTCTGCCCTGAGGGAACACATGCTGCAGATTTTAGACAAGAACTCCCGGTTGGAAGAACAGGTAAGTCATGTTTAATGATCACTCTTCAGTGGTTCTTGACTGGTTGGAGGATGATATGATATTCTACATTTGTTGCCTGATTTAGCTCAGCTACATTTTAAAAGACTGCTTTTATGGTCCTTGCACACCTCAGAAGTCAGAATAAGCTCTTCTAGTGAAGTCAGTCAGTTACGTGGAAATCTCTCTGTGCTCAGGCACGTGTATTCTCCACCAGGCACGGTGGGAGGCTCGTTGCCATACCCCACCTCGTTTGCTTTTGGTCTCTGTTTACAGTGGATATGAGATTTGGAGATAAAGTATTTTAAAGTTTCATTGGCTGGTCAGGTTGCTCCAGAAAGGAGCCTTTACATGCCCAGATCACCTGCTCTGTGTAGAGGTAGCACCAGAGCCGCTGCAAGCACCTTTCTGCTCATGATCACTTCTGCAGCTCCCAGAGGGTGACACTGGGTGTATGCCAGTCCTACTAAGGTGATTGCATCCAAACTGGTGGTGGACTTCCTCTTTGCTTGTTTATGCAAAAAAACAAGTGTCCCAAAGCGCTATAACTTGGTTTTGAAGTTTGTATCCCTCACTGACTCGTCGCTTTTACTGGTTAGACCTCAGTCTAGGGGAAGAAGAATAGATATACATACACACAGAAACACACATGCACATGTGTGCATAATATAAGGATATATTATCCCACTATAGAGCTGAAGGGGGCGGAGGTGAGAGATATGAACGTCTTTGCATCTGTAGCCACACAGATCTATTCAAGAGTCAGCTTACCTTATGGTCAGTTCTTGCTAGTGCTTATCCACAAATTGTGAATTTAGTAGTGCTCTATCTAGCTCAGTTAGAGGATTTGCATTGTAAACTTTTCCACTGCCACATATGTTTTAATTTCTTTATTGTATATTTTGGTGTCCCTTAGCATTTATACTCTGCTTTTCCCATCTGTAGATATCTGACCTATATAAGAGCCTGGAATGTAAAGAGATTAAAATCCAGCAGCTGGCAGAGGCCATTAAAAAGTGTGAGAAAGAATTCAGACAGTATACACAACTGTTTGGTAAAAATAGCAACTTGATGGTAAGCACACAGGTGAGACATTGATTTTACCATTTTTACCAATTGCTTTCTTTTATCCTGACATGTTTATCCAGCACTAGTTATCATTAATAGCAGGGCGAAAACGAATCTCCACAAGCCCTTCTTGTTTTTTTACACTATGGGATCATCTTTTCATTTTAATTAGTAATGATGGTTGGTTACCTGAAGTGGGCAAAAAAGCACTGCACAAATCCTTGTGGTCAGGTGCCCATGTCAAATACACTGGTATAAATTCGAATAATTTAGTTGGGTGGAGTGATGCAACGTGAATGGGTCCAAATGAGGGATGGCTTCTCAATCTGTAAATGTGCTGAATTAATCACGAAAGAGCACTGGGATAAGTTCCTAAGCCAGCAGAGCACTTTCAGTGCATCATATAGATGATACTGCTGACATGCTCAAGACTTCATTATATTAATTCAAAGAAAATGACTGGTTTTATGGATGTCTCTTGTATTTCTACTTCCCACCTTTTTCCAATGGCATGAACTGGGAAGGCTTTGGCCAGTCACCTGGATAAGTCTGCACGCCTGGAAGCACAAGTGAAACAGCTAATACAGATGGCAAACCAGCAGCAGAGTAAATTAGACTTGCGGCCCCTGTTTGACACAATCGAAAACATAAAACAGAAGATTGCCCTGATGGAGACATACGATCAGCGCTTGGGTATGTCAGCACTTGGGGTTCTTTTCTGTGGGAGGCGGGTTTTGCTGATTTGCTGGTGGCTAAGTAGAGGCTATGCTGCTACAGTCAGTCAGTTGCAGCTCTTCACTAGAAACAGCTTCCTTCCTCTTGCGTTCTAAGACCAAACCATGATGGTGTGCTCTGTGTTCTCCCACCTTCCCCTAATGCACAACGTCTCCTGAATTCCTGTGGTACTGCCAGGGCCAGAGCACTGGTCTTGGTCTGGCTGGTGCACTGTGATGAAGGCCATGGTGCTGTCCATATTCAGGCCTTGAATCTGGTTTGCAGTTACCAGTTTTTCTTATTTCACTACCAGCTGCAATTATAATTTTGAAAGTTAACAGCTGTAGTAACACTAGTTCATAGCCTGTACTGAGGCTTGGGTAGTTGGGTAGTTAAGTTTTGTCACCTTGACTCTGGGTGCTCAGACAGTTTTATTTATGTTTCTCTCTCTTTTTTTTTTTCTTTTTCTTTTGTTTTTCTATTTCTTTTTTTTGTTTCCTCTTCTCTCAGTTGTTTTGGAAGATCAATCCAGCAAACATGATCTCCAGATCAATATTCACAAAGCACAGCTCAATAAAAATGAAGAACGGTTTAAGCTTTTGGAAGGCACGTGCTACAACGGGAAATTAATCTGGAAAATCACAGACTACAAGATGAAGAAAAAAGAAGCGGTGGAAGGCCGTGTCCTCTCCATAGCCAGCCAGCCCTTTTACACCAGCCGCTGCGGATACAGACTGTGTGCAAGAGCCTACCTGAATGGGGATGGCTCAGGGAAGGGAACACACATCTCTCTCTACTTTGTAGTGATGAGGGGGGAATTTGACTCGCTGCTGCTGTGGCCTTTCAAGCAAAAAGTTACACTTATGCTTTTGGACCAAAGTGGGAAAAAAAATCACATCGTGGAAGTCTTTAGAGCCGACCCCAACAGCAGCAGTTTCAAAAGGCCAGATGGGGAAATGAATATCGCCTCTGGATGTCCACGCTTTGTGCCACACACGGTCCTGGAGAACACAAAGAACACCTATATCAGAGATGACACTCTGTTTCTGAAAGTTGTCGTGGATTTAACTGATTTAGAGGAATTGTGAAAAGTGTTCCCAATCAATGGGACTTCTTTAACCATTCAGGACTGCTTTAACCATTCTGAACTGCTTTCTTGGTGACTACCACCCATGCAATAGTGAATTGCCACCAGTCAAGCTACTGAGAATGTTTCACAGCTTTTGGACTCATAAGAGATAATGAATTGCCAAAGCATCAGCCTTTCCTTTTTTAACCGTTTTTTCAAGACTGCATTTTTGAGGCAGCTAGAAGTCCAGTTTGATGCAAACATGCATTCAATCCAGATTGGCTCAGCCCAGGCTGGGGGAATGCTTTTCTCTCATCACCAGACTGGTGTTTGGAGATTAAACTCCTCCAGTAACCTCCCTGGAGCCCAGGCAGGCCTGTGGGCTTCCATCCCTCACACTGAACTGAAGCCATGCCCAAACATGCAAGTGTGTTTCACCTGTCTGCAATGGAAACATTTCAACATTAGCAAATTTGAATCAGTGTGTGTTGATCCCTCCACCTCCTGGATTTTTGAAGAGGGGAGAATGGCTTCAGCTAGGCAGGGAAAACATTTGCCAAGTATTTTGCATTTTTTAAAATTTGTTTTAATTATGGTTTTTCCAGAAAGCCCAGAGGAAGGCACCAATGCCTCTTACTTTTTTAGCCTGTTTTTTCAGCTGTGTAGAGTACGTCCAGGTCACAACAGCTTTCTTATGTCCTTTCCTTTCCTGCCTAGTGCCTTGGGACTGATTTCCATTAGTGGTAAACATCCACAGTCCCCATCTGAAGCCAAAAGCTGCAGGCACTTCTCACCTCTCAGGACATGGCCAGAAGCAGGGCACTCAGCCAGCCTGCCAGCTCTTGGCTGCACTGTTGGAAGAAGGGCAAAACTCCTGTTCTTTTTCTTCCATATCTGTGCAAAAGAGATGTTTTCTGGCCTACAAGCTCTACAAAAGGCAGGAAGAGCTTTGGATATCTGCTTGGGAAAAAGCCCATGTAACATGCACTGTTCCTCTCTCCTAGAAATTTGGATGTTTGGGGAAGAAGGGGGAAAAGGGATTAGGGAGTGAGGTTGCAGTAAGAACTCTATTCTCACAGGTAGTGCAGCTCTAGTGTTCGTTAAAGGTCACACAGCCACAGAAATAATTGCTGACTGTGTTGTCTGAAGATCTTAATTTTCATTCCAAGTTCCTTTCATACTGCAAGGGAATGTGTGCAATGTACAGGGCTTTATTGGAGAAGCACTAAAACTACCAAGATCAGGCACTGAGGAACAACTGACACAGAATACACGTGCCTTTTTAAAACGTTCTGGGTGCTTGTAACAGGGATGTAATTTTGCATTCTCAGGCATTTTGTTATTACAAGTGGCAGAATTTTGCATCTCTCGTCTCTCACAGATCAGGTGGTGAAACACCACAGCATTATCCATTGCTCGAAAGCTTATCAAGAGACAGCAAGAACATAAGATGGATTTAGAGTAAGAGTAAACTAGGCAGGATAAAAATCAAAACGGGGCTTGGACTTAAAGGTATAAGGCAGAAAAATCAAGAGGGCAAATATGGCAAAATGAAAAATGCCCTCTCTGGGCAGGATGTTGATATCAACTAAAATAATTCAAGGTTTGGAACTAAGATGAAGGCAAAATACTGTATTTTGTATCTGCAGTCTTATTGCTAGACATTTGCTTTCCCACGTGGTTTTCAGGATGTAACTCAGACACAAATATTTTCAAATTCGGGGGTGGAAGGGAAGAGACCTTAGTAATCTATACCTCATGGTGGACTAGCACATCTGAAATCTTTGTTTCATCTAGAAGTCCTTTTTGTTTTACAGTGTCAGGATGTACTGAGCCACCATAGGGGCTTTCCGTGTTCCCAGAGACAGATGGCAAGGAACAAATTTTATTGTTTTGTACCACCATGATTGACTTCAAGAGTCATTTCAGCTGTACAGCATAAAGAGTTAGGACTCATGTTCCTAGCACTGTTACAGAAAGAGCAAGCTTGGTTTGACAGTGGTGTGGCATTCTGTGTCATCAGCCCTGAGCCTCAGACGTGGATTTCATGTCGATTATTACTTCAATATTTATCATGTAACTTTCAAAGTGACACAACTTGCATAATAACCACTAATAACTGATGGAAATGTACTACCATGTGTCCTGGGACTCCCCAGTACATTGAGTGTAAAATACAGAAAGTAATAAAGAACTTGGACAAGCAAGGGAGGCAAGATAGAAAGGATGGGGTCTGTAGCCTGTCAAATACCCAGCCCTCTCCGCCTCCACCACCCCAAGTGTAAAATGGGGGTAATAATACTTGCAGAAGTGTTAGGGCTATTTAAATGTTTGTGAAGAAGTTTGAGCATGAAGAGAGCTAAGTATTATTAAAACTCCATTTCTAATTGTTAGAGTAGGTGATGGCATAGTGACATGGATAAGTGCTTAGTGTTTTCCTGGACAGATTTTGAAAGCATGTTTGGTTTTAGCCAGTTTGTACTGCAATCTCTACCTACTGGTTGGGTTTAGGTTTTTGCCACAAATATTCCTTTTAAAATTTTGAAGCACAAGTGATTCATCCTGGGTGTTGGAAACATCCCTTTTGAAATACTACCTGTTTTATATAGAATTAACTGAGAAAACTGGTTTTTTTTAAACACAAGACCTTCTTTAAATTGGTTCTTTTTATTACAGTAATTGAGAGATTTATGTTTAAATTTTCAGTGATTTTTTTTTTTTACTAATTGTAAACAGGATTTTAAATTTCATCTCATTCCTAATAAAGAAAAAAATATGTTGTATAGCATGAATTGTTAGGAAGAATTTTGATGTTGCATGGAAAAAATACCAAAAACCTTTTCAATAATATTGTACTGGATAAGTAACCAAAAGAGCTTAGGGTATTTCTACATCAGCATACAGTATGTTTCTAATGTATTTATTGACAGTTTCTAGTTGTTTGAATATCTCTTACTACAATGCAGGCATTTTTCTAGCCAAATGTCTTCACTGTGTACATAAACTAATGTAAGAATAAATAATTTTACCATCCTTCTGTAGTGAGTGTGGCCTAATACTCATTTTGGCTGGATTTAAGGAGACTTTTTACAAGGATGTGGAGTACGGGATACTTGTTTATGACGACCATGATGATGATTACCCAACAAGCAAAAACACTTCTTTAGATTAAGAATCAATGTATGTCATAGATATTTTTGTTTATGCTTGAATATCGTAAAGATAAAAGTTTAGTGAATTCTAAGCTAGACCGGACGGTCCGAGGATCCACTGCAATCAGAACGGGATGTTACTTCTGCTTGGAGCAGCTTTGGGCTCCGCAGGGTTTGGATTTGTTTCGGTTCATACCAGAAACAGGAACTGTTTCAGTATCCCGTGATTACTTCGTGCTTGGGGACACGGTATTTTAAAACAGGGGGGCGCAAACCTTGGCAGGGTAGAGCCCAGAGCGCTGGAGAGGGGCTTGGGAACTGTGTCCGCCCCTGACCCCGTTGCTGTGCGAGGGGCAGGAAGCGGCGGCGGCGGCTCCAGCCCTTCCGGGTCGGCGGGCGGGCCGGGCCGGGCGCGGAGCGGGGAGGCAGAGCGGGAGCGGCGCCGTCCCCGGCCCGGGTGGGTCGGGCAGGGGGGTCGGGGCCGGCGGGGTCGGGCGGGCCGTGGGCGAGGTTCTCCGGCGGCTGAGGGCGGTGCGTGGCCCCCGGGGCTCCCTGCGCGGCCGCGTCCCGTGATACAGCGACAGCCCGACACGGAGGGGATGTGGGGCGAAACTGCCTTTGCGACCGCGCTGGCGGTGGCACGAAAACAAGGGGGCTGGCCTCCGGTTCCTGATGCGAGAGGATGCGGCTGAAGGCGCGGCCCCCCCGCAGGGTGGTGCAGTGTGAGGGGAGGGGGGACGTGGTCCTGTGCCGTGTGCTCAGGGACGACCCTGTTTGGGCAGGGAGGTTGGACCTGGAGACCCACTGTGGTCCCTTCCAACCAAACCCATTCTGTGATTCTGAGGGGCTGCCCTCAGGCGTGTTCGCAGATTTCCTCGGTTTCTCCGCACTGCCGTTCCCCCCCTCCCCCCCACCTTTCCAGAATCTTTTGGAAATTACGTTATTGAATGTATTTTTGCCTCTTGACTAGATATGGATAACAGCAAGGATGAAAAAAGTAGGACGCTGTGTGCAACTTCAGAAGAAGGCTGAAGGTCCGAGGTAGGCACTGCTGGTCTGTTGTGATGCTCTGTGTCAGTCACCAAGTCGGACCCCAATACTGGGCATGATCACTTGCTAATAGTAATAAAACCGTAGCACGTAGGGGCTCACTGTGTTTAAGTTCTGTGAAGAGTCGTTTTTGTAGACCACAGTTACTAGCATGCTTGTCACTGTTACCTTGTGCTGTCTGAAGGAAAAGAAAAAAGGAAACAAAAACGCAGTAGAAGCAGATCGTCATCTGTTTCATCCACATCATCTTCTAGCACCACATCCACTTCTTCCTCCTCGTCACGCTCTTCATCAAGGTCATCTTCTTCGAGTAGTAGAGGTAAGCTACCTCCGCTTGTGCACATGATTTACCAGTTTTGGTAGTACTCCTGGAAACATTTAGAGCTTGTTTTAAATGTGACTAAACCACCACAAAGATGCCAATGCTGCGCATTCAGTGTTTCTCTCTTAACCTTCTCCTATTGCTGTGTTAAGGTGCCTCTTTAAACACAATCTGCAATGTTCTTTTGTTAGTTTAAATAACTTAAAAATAAAAACATGCCATTTAAAGAATAGTTACTTTGTAACAATATGCTGTGTATATTTAAACTCCTCTGTTCATTACACTTTCAAAACACGGATCTTTTTCTACTTCACCAGTCTATTTAGACCTGAGTTGGGGTTTTTTATTCAGTCCTGCTTCATCTTAACATTTCAAGCATTTGCCTTTGAGGACTCACATGAAGTTGGAATGTCTGCAGAATCAGTAAATCGGGTATTTTCAGTTTCAGTGTTAGATCAGTAAGAGGCAGTAAATTAATGTGTTGCTTTCATTTCGGGGTTAGTTTCAACTGCTGTCAATATATGTAGCTAAATTAAGGCATTTTCTTTTTAGGTTTCACATTTCTGTATGCCTTATCTGTAAAACCAAATGCCTTTTTCAAGAATGCTAAACTTAGAGGATTTGATTTGATTTTGTTGTTTGTTTTTTCCTTTAGATTCTCCTAAGTCTAAATCAAAGAAAAGGAAAAAAGAAAAACACAACAAAAAGGTAAACATTTTACGAAGAGAAATAGGGAGTTAACAAACAGGAAATAGTTCTTTATATTGCAATAACCTTAAAGGTCATGTGGGACATAATGCTGTTGTCTGTGGCTCTGTAAATTTGAATCATGATTTTAGGGTTATGGTAGCTGAACTGTAAGGTTGGCATTTACTTGACTTTATGCAAAAAAGGAAATAATTTAAAAGTTACTTCTTCCAGTCATTACTGGTCCAGCTAGAGTTCAGAGTAGTCTCTGAAGAAAAGAGAAGTGGGGAATTTTAGTAACTTTATAGAATTTTTCAAAAAACCTGATTTTCAGTCAGTGAGAGAAGCAGGTAGTAGATTCTTGCTGTACTAATTTTTCTATTTCATTTTATCAGGACCTTCTGTTCAGTAATTTTATATATTGGGGTTACATTAAACAAGAGAAAACAGGGAATCAGACCATTTCTGTTTCTCAAGGTCCTAAGGGTTGCTAACCCTGCTGTGTTACTTTCTGTACTTCAGCTACTACTTGTCTGGCAGGGGTAAGGGCAAACAGAAGGGCTGTCTTGACCAGTCAGGGCCTTCAGAGATACTTGTGGGTTTGGTTTATTTTGCCCTTTTGAGTCTGTAAGCCTAAGAATGTATGTCTTACTGTTGTAGAAAAGGAAAAAAGAGAACAAAATGAAGAAAAAGAAAGAAAAGAAGAAAAAGAGAGAGAAAACAGGACCTGTCCAGCTTTCCAAGGTATGCTTGTGTGAATCTGAAGCCCCATTATATTTCTTATCTAAATACTTAATCTGTCCTGTAATAAAAATGTGTATAACATCACCAGTTTTGTCATAAACAAATAGAAATCTGTCTATATTGTTTTGAACAGTTAGGAAATATAAAATATTATCATCTATAATTGTACTTGAGATTTGTAACATTACAAAATAAAGCAAAGCTTATGTCTTTTTAATGTGTGATCTCATTTTAGTTCTTTAAAAACAAAAAGAAGAATGAAAACTACAGCATGATAACAGGAAAGAAAATTAAGATGAAAATTAAGAAGACTAAGGAAGATATAGAGGTAAGAGTTAAAGTAGTCTATATATTCCTAAGAGAAAATACCGTATCTTTTAATATTTTTGCAATAGTACTGTCTTTTGTAGAAAAGTGGGTCTTGCAGTTGGGGGTTGTAAATTGAGTGTAGCTTTTAGTGTGGCTGTGATTCCATCTGAGGCTTTTTAATTCCTTCTTTTGGCAGGTTTTGTGTTATCAGTGGGCTTGGAATACTCATGCATGAGTAGATAAACTAAAGGGTGCTGGTGCAGGTTCTTAAAATTTCAGTGTCTAATGGTTAGCTGATTCATAGCTTTCTCTATTGATATGATTTACAGTTTTTAATTTTAATTGTACTCATCTTCTTTCAGTCTCTTGTGATCAGTTGTGGTAATTGCTGCTTTACTGTGTTTTTCTAACACATGCAGGACTAGCCATTATTTAGAGAGGAATTAAAAAAAAGACAGGAGTAGTATTAGGACCACATGCCCATGCATTCTCTCAAAGCAGTCAAATGTTTTTGCTGAGATACCCAGGGAAATTGATATAACGAACGTGGTTTGTGGTTTGTGCTATTTCTATGGGTGTTTGGACTCAGCACTTAAATAATACGTTCACCCTTTTCAACAATTTCTACACCTTAGAGTGGCCTGCAGAGGGCTCTGGTGCTAGTCAGTGTGTGTTAGAAGTGCTGCTTCGTTGATGTATATCCAGCCTAGCAGATTCTGGTTCAGCCATAACAATTCATTCTATAGCTACTGAAGCAGATTTTTTATAAAAAAAACCACTGAAACAAGTGTTTTGACTGCTTGGGCTATCTCTCACGTGAAGAAAATAACCTAAATTCAATGTTCTGTCATGCTGCAAGCTGCTCTTTATGCACAGAGAAAACAATTATACTTCCCAAAGCACAAGACTTGCTGTGTGTACAGTGAAAGCGGCCTCAGACACCAGAGAATAGCACCTATTCTGCTTGTGAGTTCCCTCCTGAGCTGTGAGCTACATGACTACAGCCCAGTGGAGCCTCTGCAGGGAGCCAGTTAGAAAATGTACCATGAAATAATGACAGTGACAACTTGTCTGCAAGGGCATCTCTCCCCAGAACCCATTGCCTGGTGCTTCCCCTGGGCACTCACACCCAACTGATAGCTAGTTAGATCCGGCTGTGTGAGTGTGAAAGCCCTACAGAAAACTGGGATCTGCAGCCTTGCTCCACTGAGTCTTTTCAGCTGTTCAACTGCTGCCTTTGCTTCTCTGCTCTACAGAGAGACCGGAACCGTGCACAGCTCCTGGAATTTCTGAACTCTGCCTTGTAATGGGAAGAGTGCTGGCCAAGGACTTGTAGATATACCAAGTCAATAATCATCATGCCTAGCAAAACACTAAAGGGAAACTCAGGGAAAAGGATGCCAAGTTCCACAAGACCAGACCCTCCTGCCGAGAAGACAATCGGGTTGTCCTTTTTTAATGGCAAAACGAAGAGTAGCTAATAACTTGCTAATGAAGATCCATGTCCTCCTTTTGAGATCCTAAGGTAATAGCCAGGCTGTGGTGTTTTAGAAAAGCCCAGGAATGTGTCATCGACAACATATAAGATATGACACACTGAAGTCAAGTGATATAATTTCTATCCTAACTGCATGCAGAATGCACTCTTTATTTCAAATGTCTTAATTTTTCTAGTAGTTTAAGCAGAGTATTTGTAAATGCCTGTTTTAAAAGATGAGGTGTTTCTTATACGGTTTTTTTTTCTGGTAGTAGTTGTACTGAAGAGCAAATTGATCTCTGTAAATAGAACATACTTTTACATAAATGATTTTTTTGAAAGTTCATTCACTAATATATTATTTTCTTTCAGAGTTTGAGATATGATCTTTCTCTGGACAGTTTATTGCTCTCTCTCACTAGAAAATGTAAAACCAAAATACTCTAGAGCAATAATGGTAGCAAATGGTGTGTATCCTAAAAGAGAAGCAGGAAAGGTCTCCGATTTGGTTTGTTTATCTCAATCAGCTATTCAAAGGCAGCTCACAATAAATCGTTTACCCCCCACATCTGGAGTTGCAGTTCCTAGACCTAAAAACTGGAGTTCTGGCCTACCTTTCTGATCCCGTTTAGCAAATCCTTCTCTGTCTGAAGTGCAGCAAGACACACCACATACCTTAGTCTAATGGAGAAAGAGCTGTAGGAATAAAGCAGAGGCAGGCAGCGACAGTGACTCTCTGGATATGCTGACAGTCCACTGTGAGATGAGACAGATATGGATATGCAGCTGGATCCCAGCATAACTTGTGTGTTAGCTGTGGTAGTTTGCTCAGTGCTTGAGCTCTTCCTTCCTTCCAGAGCTTGAGTTTTGATTACCCAGCAGGCCCCTGTATACATAAACCTGATGTGGGAGTCCCACTTATTTGCTCATGAAGCAAGTGCTTCTCGGGAACTACAGTTTAGGAGTGCCTGAAAAAAAGGAGTCAAGGGTAGTTGACTTTGACAAGAACGTCAGGTGTACAGCAGTCAGAGTGTGAGGAGTTCATTAAAGAGCAAGTGGAAAACTCTTTGCATCTGTGTCTGCTATGGTGTTTTGAAGTAAACCTGGAGATCTGTACCATTGCTCAAGAGATAATTTTATAACTGTTTTGATGTGTGAAACCTTCTGAAGATGCTAGAACCCTGTCTTTTCGCTAGTTTTCTTTTATTGTGAAGCATTTTGTAGTTGTTGCAGAGATGTAACTCTTTGGAGACTAATGCTCTGATCCAGAAAAGGAAGTCTTTACATCCTTATCAACATAAAACTTGGAAAAACATTGGTAAGAACTGGAGTTTCCTTGACTTGTAATCTGGCAATGGAAGCTTTTTTGTGGAAGTACTGTTCTGAAATGTCTGCAGGGGGAAAAACAAACAGGAAAACACCTCCTTTCCTTCATGGGGATTATGCTTTGATTTATGCTACTTTGGTATCTTCTAGCTAGTGATGTCAAAGGATCTTGCCCAGATAAGCAGCTTTTTTCTCTGGTCTTTGTGTAACAAGGTCAATCCCAAACACTCTCCTAGAAGACACTAACATCCTTCCAATTCCTTAGGTTTTATTTTATGTAAAGATAGTATAATTTCTGAAAATTTGTCAGGGTGGGGAGGGAGTAGAAATTTGGAAGATGGAAAGCAAATAGGAATGGGAAACCCAGAGGTTACAGTTGTAAAGAGCTGCATTGGTTGGAAGGTTCAGACTTAACTGAAATAATTCGCTTTTTGGTGCCTTCGTCAAGACTGTAAAAACTCCTTCCCTGTTCCACATTAGTGTGGAAAAGGCAAAGAGCCTTTAGAAATATGATGTGATCTGTTCCTCTTTTAGGGTTTTGGTAGTTGCCAACTCTAATGATGCAAAAACAAGTCAAACCACTTTTTCTTAAAAAACAAACAAATCCTTTTTCTTCTTCTTCTTTTTTTTTTTTTTTTTTTTTTTGGTGTTTCAGGACAGGAATTTTTCCTGCTCACTTCTGACATGCTGGATATGCTTTGGTGGTGCTTTAAAATATTTCTATGCCAGCATATACTTCTAAGTGATCGTTTCTTTCAGAGAGCCAAGCTGCTTAAGCTCTGTAGCAGTGATTCAGTTTTATTCTCTCCTGCCCAGTAAGTTACAGGTGGTGCCTGAAACTTCCCAGCAGTTGCTGCGTTTATAAACCTCCTTTTTTTTCTTACCCATCTCCATGTAGATTCTCAGGTTTCTAAAGTGATTTGAGTAATGTTGCATTCTTTGCTTCTCCCTCTTTCCCCATAAGAACTGAGACCATGTGCTTTTTGGGACTGAGTGTCTTTGAGGCTGCTGCCTGGAGCTGGCCAGCATATTCCCGTCCTCCCTAGTGAGCCAGGCCCTTACAGCCAGAATAATTGTCCATGTCTTGCTGCCTCAGGGAAGAAGTTCATTTTGTTGACCTTTTCACTAAAGCATAGCTTCTTAATACTGCTTCAGATCACTATTGTGGCAGCTGAACCACAGACAGACTGAACCAGGTGCGAGGGTTACAACAGTAAGAATGTGGTGAAAATCAGGTTGAGGAATTTGCATGAGGGAGCTGTGAAGCAGCATGTAAAGTCAGCCTGATAGGCAAGGGGCTGATAGAGAGACTTGCTACTAGGTCTCAAAAAGGTGCATACTGTGGGTGAAGATGTAGGCTGGAACAATAGAGCAGTAGAAAAGGTATGAGGTAGGCATGAAGGGAGACTGCTGCTATCAGAAGTCATGGTGTGGGGCAGAGGTCAGGTGATAAAGAAGGGGCTGCAGAAGCTTACCTTGCTGGGCAAGTTGAGATTCTTCCTAAAATGATGAATAATTGATGAAAATCTACTTTGTGTGTGTGTGTGACAGTCTTCCTTATCACACTCACTTTCTGTGTCCTGGCACCATTTTCCATTCTGGGAATCATGCAGAACTCAGCTGAATTTTTCTAACAACAGAAATTCCAGAAACAGAAGTCACTGTGGCGGGAGGGAGGGGAAGGAGCTGAGCTGCTGCCACCATGCCCATCTTCCTTTGGCACCATTCTTTCTAAGTGTTCTGTCCCATTTACAGTAAGTTTTACCATGAGCAGCAGAACTGGTTCGTCTTAGTCCCTTTTGATTTGTGCTTGTTGCTCTTTTAGCCACTGCTCCTGCCTCCCAGCTGTGTGCTGTAGTTAGGCAAGTACAAGTGCAAATAGCTGTGTGGTTTTCATTAATGCTGTGGTGGAGGGTGCTCACTCAGACCTCCTGGGTCCACTGAGTAATTGTCATGAAGCAGGAAAAGAACTGGGTGTTTCTAAGGATCTCTCCACAGTTGATACAAGTGGTCGTAGTCCCAAAAGTTAGTGGAAGGTGATGGAACACAGTTACATAAGTTTCTTTTCTTAAGCAGGGAAAACAGGCAAAAACCCAAACATGAAAGAATGGTTAATGCAAGCAATGAATTGATTCAGCCAGTTTTCATGGGCAGTGCAATTCTTTGTTACTCATTTTCTTTATGGTTTGCTTGAAATTCACTCTTTTGCCCACACAAAAATGTAGAAGAGATGAAGTTGAGGAAATGTATATAAATGCCACTTTGTCTTGGAAGTGCCTGGCTCCATGGAACTAAGGTGTATTATCCTGCAGAAACTGAGCAGGGCCTGCAATTGTGGTAACTCTTCAGTATTTAGTATGATTAAACTTGGGCAAGTTGTGCTGTTTTGATGTACCTGGGTGTTTCATGCTGCAGAAATGTATGAGCTTCCCAGTCATCCTCTGCAGCAAATCTAAGTGAGCTCTATACACAGGGGAAGAGCAGAGGTCAGAGAGGCTTAGTGACTTGTCCTGGGATCACCTGCCAAAGCTGCCATGGTGTGGGCCTGGGCCCTGACAGCTAGATGGAGCTTTGATGTCCTTTGGTGTGTAAAACTCATGATCTTTGCTGTGCATATTTAGTCTCCAAAGTTCCAGTTCAGCTCTAAAGGTGGGGAACTCCACTGTCATCTGGGAACTCCATGAAATGGCTGAACTTCACATGGTATTGGGTTCTCCTGAAGGAGTGAGGTCTTGGGCACACCTGAGATTCCTCTGGTCTTCCACTTGGTTGTATTTGAAGCTGTAGGGGGATGAACTTCTGAGGAGCTGTTTCTTAAAATTATTGGCAAGCACCCAGCCACCTAGTTCCATCTGCAGACAAAATTAATTATCAAAATTACTATCCAGAGTAGAGATCATGATGTATTTGGCTGTTGACAACAGGGGTTATTTTCCTGCCTGTTCAATTTTGGTCCTAAATTGTGATTCCCAAGGAGTATGACACCTCTAGTGTTGTCTGAGGGACAAGCAGGACATGGTGCTTAGGGGTCTAAGGAGGCATATTTTGAGCCCTTTCAACCAGCATGAAGAACACAACATTAATATCCACTCTGAGAGGCACAGTGTTTAAGATGACAGCCGTTCCCATACCAGCACGCTGACCACTGTTACTGTCTCCAATAAGGCACTAAAAACAGGGCTAACACTAGCTGTGTTCATTTTGCTCTCTGTTTGTGAGCTGCTCTCTGGGTGACAGCCGTGTGAGACAACAGTAATGCCAGAGTGAGGAATTTGTATCTGTCAGGAGAGGCCTGGTTAGAAACTAGCTGCTGCCTTGTTCCCTGGTTAGTCGGTGGTGGGATATCCACCGGTAGGTGGCATTGCTGCCCAGCTGGAATGTTACGGAAATCTATTTATTTTTTACCTTTGGACATTGGCTTTGCACTTTCTTTTTCTGAAACCCTATAATTAGCCTGCAAATACCTAATTATGCTTGGTTATGGGGAATATTTGTTTCTGCTGTCTTATGAATTAATCCAATCTTTGTTCATTTCTTGCCCTTGGCTGTGCTGAGGACAGACAACAGTCTCTTCTGCTGGCACTTGCATGCCAAAGGCAGAAGGAAGCCTTTAACCTCTCAGTAGCTGAATGCAAGAGGAGCACGTTGCTGAGAGCCAGTAGGGACCTGGAAGGACCAAGTGTTCTTGCACCACCCTGCCTGGGGCTGCTGAGTTCTTCAGAATTTGCACCTGGCTCTTCTCCATCTCTTAAATACTGGTGCCAGAATACAGAAAAAAAAAGGCCACCAACTTGAGTATTTCACTGTTGCTGCTTCGTAGCATATCTGGTTATTTAAAATAGTCTTCAGACCAAATAAGGTGCAATCTGTTGCTTTAGGCAACCTGGCACTGGAGAGAACGGGTTTGGAAAAGGTACTGCACATGGACTGTGGCATGATAGAGGCCTTTGAGAATGCATCGTGGTCACTGAACAGATGTAATAGTAATGGCACTCTGAGAGTAGGTACTCTGATGTCAAA